GTAGGTTTCTCGGCAGGATAAAGCCAACGGATAAAAACGATATCCGTTGGGGTCATATGCGGATAGAGATGCAAATATCAAAGGTCAAGTAGGACTACTTTCACTGTTTATAAACAAACATGGCGTCGCCCTCGTCATTCGGCGATCGAGTCAGAATTAACCATCGGGAATCTGAATAAACTACAGGCATAATTGCTATCATTATAAAACAAAACAGTCTAATATACTGAAATGCAGTGTCTAACTGTGACGTAGCTAAGGCATTTTATAAGTTTTGGCAACTTTGGAGATTTCGAAACAATTTTGCGAGGGCACGACCCGAGGCCTAGCCAAGCAGGATCAGTAGCCATATCTGTGCTTGTAGACCTCTGCGGCTTGAAACCTTTTCCACAAATTAAAATAGTTGGATTTGGCCGAAATATGTTTGAATTGTTACCTTGTTTCGTTTTGTCGCTGTGTGTACATCTGACTACATTTCTAAACGTTATGACAGGACAGACCGACTGTCAACATCGTCTGACCGTGGCCGTGACGTCTCATAGACTAGGGTTAGAGTAGCTTCCCTTTGACAAAGGGCAGTTACTCTAGCGGACAGACCGATGAATTGCCGCGAAAGGCAATTAAAAACAACTGTTGTTTTGCGTATATGTTGCTTCGCCACTGTATAAGAAACAGAATTTAGTTGGAACTATATTGGCTACTGTCATTGTCCGACTGACACATCACTTACCCTGTGACGTAATAAATATGAATGCGCGCATTCCAGGAAAACTCGCAATGTTTCGGTAATGTTTGTGAGAGAGGGAAAGCGATTTTAAAGCACAGAATTAAAGAATGACATTATATGATAAAGAGGTTATCACGCTTGTGTGTTTGGGGATGGTAAATATCCTGTATTAGGAATAAACACTATGTATTTAGCTCGCCAAGGCTCGCTAAATACAATGTTTATTCCTAATGCAGGATATTTACCATCCCCAAACACACTCGCGTGATAACCTCTATATCTATGAACAACGACACAGCGCGTCTTACAGTGATGTCTGTGAACATGGACAGAGTGCGTAATACAGTGATGTCTGTGAACAAGGACAGAGTGCGTGCGTGCGTGTGTGTATTTTTATAAGCCTTGGCTGTGCTGTTGTTTACAGTCGGCTTCGCGTGCACAATTGGCCAGTACGCACCTGTGCCGAAAGGACCGAAAAGGAATTTCAATGCGCCAACTAACGGTGTTATGTTTCTTGATTGGCTGATGATAGAATGGGCGGGACTTGTGTTGCATTATTGCCCTAATTTAGTACTGTCGTCAAAAGAAACGTCACCCCAAGTAACATTGCATAAAAAAGTTGTCATTTAAATATCTGGGTTACTTTTGTCAAAGTTTCTAAAATTTAACATCACCTTGTCCGGAAAAATGAAATTTGATGATAAAAAACAACAAAGAAGATTACAATAAAACCGATCGCCCAAATGCATCACGGCAACGGCCATGGTAACCCGATGCGCTTCATGAGTTCCGTGCAAATTGAAATGCACATGCGTTCCCCATTTCTTGCCCTATAATAATCCACCCAGATCAGATAACATTCCTTCGTTATTGAATTGCTACCACATGCCATCAAGAAATCAGCGACACCGAGCCCTTTGGCGATTGCAAGCTGGACAAACCGCCCGGCAAGTAGCCAATGCGCTTCAAGTCCACGTAAGGACCATATGCAGGCTCCAGCAACGGTACCAGACCACCAACACTACAGATGACCGTCCACGTAGTGGAAGACCAAGGGTCACCACCCGACGTCAGGATTGTCAGATTGTGCGACAGCATCTTCAAGATCGCTTTGTTACTGCTGCGGAAGCTGCTCGATAGACCATGGGGACACACCAGCGACACGTAAGTGCGGTCACCGTGCGTCGACGATTGACGAGCAGACACCTCCACTGTCACAGGCCACACCGAGGAACCATTCTGACACCACGTCATTGCCGGGACCGTCTTCAATGGGCAACACAGCACCAGTATTGGCGCCACCAGCAGTGGAGAAGAGTCCTCTTCTCAGACGAGAGCCGTTACTGTATCTCAACAGCAGATGGCAGAGAGGGAGTCTGGCGAAGCCGTGGGAATGGTTATTCGGATGCTTGTGTTGTTGAGAGAGACTCGTGGGGTGGTCCGAGCATCATGGTGTGGGGTGGAATTGGTCTTGCACAGAGGGTGGGTCCTGTGGTCTCCCAGAACATCGGTCCAGGGAGAGGCAATGGTGGCACAGCAGCTCGGTACATTGATCAAGTCTTGAAACAACACGCCATACCTACGAGTTTCAGCATGATTACGCCCGTGCCCACGCTGCGAGAGCAACAAGAGACTTCCTCCAGCAGAATGGCATCAGAACAATGCAATGACCTGCCCTCAGTCTGATTTGAATCCCAATGAGCACCTGTGGGACGAGATTCAAAGACGGCTGAATGACGTCCGACCGAAGGCCGACAAATGCAGCTGAACTGCGTCGGGCGTTCCTCGGTGTGGGCGTAACTACCTATGGCCTTCATCAACCGCCTCAGAGTGTGGGCTTAAGTACCTGTGGCCTTCATCAACCGCCTCAGAGTGTGGGCTCACGTCCCTGTGGCCTTCATCACGTATCCATTCCATGTTTCGATGTCGCACGGCAGTCATCAATGCACATGGCGGACACACGAGATACTGACTTGTGATTTTTCTCAGAGACTAGTGTTGTGTTTCACTTGAAGAACATTTGACGCTTTAATTTCAACCTTGATTATCAGTTTTGCCAAGTTTCATCTTAATATGTCTCAAAGTATGTTTACAGTGTTTGGACAAATACGGTTTCTCATATATCTATCCATGCTGACGTTTCTTTTGCGGTTCAGTATATGTTAAGTTCCTATTGTTGAAATATATTTATAAATATGACTTCAATATGTGTTAGTTAGTCTATGGAGTTATCAACATAAATACAGGTGTGAACGCTTTCCATAAATCAGCTACACATCGCTCTTTACGTCTATACCCTATAAACGTTAATCATATTGAAGTCAATTCTTTAAATAAAGTGACAAAGTCCTTTCCATATCCAATAGAAATATCTACATAAAGCAGATTCGATTCGACAAGTCCGACAATATCATGAGCATGTGTTTATGAACCCTGTCAAAATCTGATGATACGAGGTGTTCGCGAAGAGGTGAGCGTATAAAAATATAAATGAGCAATACTCTTGTGTAAGATCCTCTATTTAAATTGAATGTATTGGGTCTTTAGCGGTCATAGTGAGTTGTTTTACCCCTCTGCAACACAAGTCAATCCTGCAGTCCCCAGCCGCACGCAGTGTGTGACTTACAACGTACTGGAGCGTGGTACCAGGACACAGTTTTTGTCTGTTTGTTTGTTGTTTAACGCCGCATTGACGGTGGTGTGTAAGTAATCGAGTCTGGATCAGACAATCCAGTGATTGACAACATGAGCATCGATCCACGCAATTGGGATGGATGACATGCATCAACGAAATTAACGAGCCTGACAAGCCGATCCCGTTAGTCGCCTCTTACGACAAGCATAGTCGCCTTTTACGGCAAGCATGGGTTGCTGAAGACTTACTCTACCCTGGAGCTTCAGGGGCCGTACATAGTGTCCCAGCCGTCCTCAATAACGACATTTGTGAACACCCCCTGCTTTACTCTGTGACAATGAAAAACAATGTTTTCATTTTGATTTTAAACTTGCACTATATTAATTTTGTAGTGTTGGTTTTCACCTATTACTAGGTGATATGTTGAAAATCCTTGATTTTTACATCTGGAATACTGGGAGCGTTTTGGTTTTTTAACCTGTGTTCACTATTTTGTTTTAGTTGTGTGGTTGGAACATAGTATTTACAAACTAATTGTGTATGTGTTTGTAATGAAATAACATTTAATGTCAATCTTAAACTAAAATTAGCAAAAACACTATCTATCACGGCCAGGTTGCTATTGATATGACTTATTGTACAGGACGTTATCAGTAGCGTGTCCAATGTACATGAACGTGACTGGACCGAACATGCCCGAAAGAACGGATGACGTTTATTGATAATAAGGAGATATACCTAGCTCAATTTTCTCAACTACTATCTGCTTAACAGAGTAACTTCCCAGGTGCAAAGGTGACATTTTCATATTTGATGTTAGAAATGTCAAGGCGTTCACTGTGTTTTCAAATGCTTCTTGCATTTATCACAGCTATGACCATCTATCTTGGCGGACGTTGGAGCTTTGAGGGTATGTGAGTGTACACTGAGGCAACGTTTCTATTTGTGGATTCCAACGAATAAAAGACAGGAACGCCTGTTTTTCTTTTCGACTTTATGTTTTAAAAGGCTAAACAATGAATCTTCATAAAAATGTAATGTGTCGTAACTTGAAAGCTATACATTTAGTAAGTGCATGTCATGTTGAATCAATTAGGAGCAAGACATTAAATGCTTTAGATTTTTCATGATTTGAAAAAGAGACATTTGAAGACGAATGGACTTAATTTGTTTTCAAATAACAAAGTAAATGTACTGTGCATTTACTGCTGTACTGTGCATTTACTGCTGTACTGTGAATTTACTGCTGTACTGTGCATTTATTGCTGTTGTGTTAAGTTACTGCTGTTCTGTGAAGTTACTGCTGTACTGTGAATTTACTGCTGTACTGTGCATTTACTGCTGTACAAGCCATTAGCATTATCAGATATTGAGAGTAAGATGCTTACACCGCTTACTCTTCTCTACTTAGTATTAGCAGGCCCGACTCGATACGTCATTTGTTAATGACATTGGCTGAATGTTGTGTTCTTGTCACTCGCAGTCACTAACGTACGTATTGCAGCGTGGCCGATATACAGCCATTTGTATGTATCGTAAACTTTAATGTGTTAAAACAGATGTGTGTAGGTTTGAAGACTTGAACTGCGGAACATAGCGTCTATCAGATAGTAGCACAGTTCTTCTTTTTAGGCCCCCGAGAGTTCAAGTCTGCATTGATGCCAGTCGTTCCGGCAGAGAAGGAAGTACTTCCATGTGAGAGCAATTAAGTCATTTCATATACTTACCACAACTAATGTAGCTCGTGTGTGATTTGATCATTTGTTGTATGAAAACTATCAAAATGGGTAATTTTCCACTTACGTTGATTTATATTATACAACCGTCTGATATATTTTAAGTATGGGATGATAAGTGTAGGATGGTAACATCATTGTAAGTAGGATATATCATACTATATCTTAAACTGCGTGCGTTCTCTGCAGTGTGATGCTTGGCCTACAAGGAACTGACACGCAGATGTCGTTGATTAACCACTATTGAATGATGTGTATATTTGTAATCAAATCTTTCAAAGGGTATTTCTAAGGGTATCATCAAACCTTCTTCAGACTAAATGGTTAACATGGCTCAGTGCACGCAGTGCTGACTGCATATAACCTTATTAGTGGAATAGAACAGACAAAAACAATAACAATACGACGTCCTCTACAACGGAGAAGCAACAGAGGGTAGGACCTATTTTAACTCTGGTCCCAACAAGCAATAGAGTGTGGGACCTATATTAACTCGGGTCCCCACGAGTTAGATTACGTACTGTGCCGGGTATGTCATCAAGAAATAGATATTGACTGCAGATTGTGTGTGAGGTAGGAAATTAGATGTTCCTCGTTACGTTTAGATGTTCGTCTGTCGAGGCCCACACCTGAAGCAACAAAGGTCATACTTCTGGCGTACATGCGGACTGGGTCAAGCTTCACAGGTGATATCATACAGCAGAGCCCGGATGTATTCTACATGTTTGAACCGTTATTCGCCGTGGAGAAGTATCATTTGTCTCACCTTTTTGACATCAACAACAAAAGGTGAGTTGCACTTGAGGCATCGCGTGGTGAGTGAGTGAGTGAGTGAGTGAGTGAGTGAGTGAGTGAGTGAGTGAGTGAGTGAGCCCGGTTCTGCAACGAACGCTTACAAAGTTGCCTGTTCTCCTACGCGAAAGTAATGACGTATATGTACTTCAAATGAAGATATGTACGCGCAATGGAGAAATTAACAAACAAATCTTGATAGGTTTCACTTCCTGGTTTGTACTTTCAGATTCGACAAAGGCAAAGGGAAGAGGCAACAACACGTTCTTGAATCGTTACTAACCTGCGACCTGACATCCATGGACCCTACGACACTCACACAACATCACCTGAAGAACAGCTACAGCACCATCGACTATTACAACTGCACCAGGAATGTTGAATCAATATCCGATTTGAAAGAATGTCTCAAACCGGTGTTGTCAGAATGTGTCAAGTCCCGTGTTGTATTTGCCAAGGTCATCCGCACAAAGATGATCACAATGAAGGACCTCCTGTCCAAATATCCAGAATTGAAGGTCATACACCTCCTTCGTGACCCTAGAGGGCTCTTAGCGTCACAGCAGATGGTGGGGCATTTACCTGACGGTATAAGTGGGTCTGTTAAGGCAACGTGTGACAAAATGTATACTGATGTTAAAAAGTCCGTCAGTTTTAAGAAGATGTTCCCCGGGCGTGTTTTTACTCTACGTTATGAGGACATTGCTCTCGACCCAATTAATGTGTCTAAGCAAGTCTACGATTTCCTTGGAATAGAACTTACAAGCACAATACAAAACTACATCTTGGATATCACAGCTAACAATGTAACACGGTGTGGAGCAAGATGTATCAGTAAAAACTCAACCTATGCAGCGTTCAGATGGCGAGAGCATCTTTCGTATCGTGATGTGTCTGTTATTGATCATAGCTGCTCAGAATTGTATCGAAAGGTTGGATACCTAGCAGTAACAAAGGTTACGTTTCGCGACATGTCGAGGACAACCCTTACTGACATGCCCAAGGATTTAACACGAATTTAGGAATTAACAGAAAACGTTATTATTTCAATTTTTAACATTTTCTATCGTTGTACATACAAATAGAAAGAAAAACTAACTGAACGACGGCTTGACGGATATCTGTTCTGGCTCGAGTCACGTTATCATATGTTGGAAATGTGTTTTACGTTGGAATTGAATCAACCAATGTATAACAAGGTGACTATGCCTGTCGTCTGAGGCGACAAACAGGATCGGGTCGTCAGGCTTGCTGACTTGGTTGATACATGTTATCGTATCCCAAATGCGTGGATCGATACTCATGATGTCAATCACTGGATTGTCTGGTCCAGACTTGATTATTTACACACTGCCGTCATACAGCTTGAATATTGCTAAGTGCGGCGTTAAACAACAAACAGACAAACAAATAAACTGATAAACAAGGACAGGATAGAGACACATATTGATCCATTTACGCCACGCATGCCAGGAACGATACCAGAATAGTGGACAGGTGCACGATTGTGTTAAAGGTGAAAGTGTCACTGTTACAAGGACAAGGACCATCATAATACCACAGTTAGGCATTTCTGCGGTCCTTTGTCTCAGAAAACAAATCTGAAAGTTATTCACCCTTGATCTATTTCTTTTGGAAGATACCCAGAGAATGGCATCTTACATTATTAATTCGATATACAAAATCGCGGTAAGTATGTTGCACGTGTAATGCCAGTAAGTTCGGCAAGGTTCCTTGAAAATAATAGAATGGGTCTCAGCTAATCAGAATCCGACACTCAGTGTAAGGTAAGATATGTAAGGTGGGTATGTGCTGCGTGTAATGTGGACGGGTACTTGTTGTGCTTACTTACTTACTTACTTTGGAGATTTAACGTGCGCTTTCCGACTGATGCGTATTTCGCACACGGGCCCGGCCAGACCATGAAATTTGTTTCCGAAAGGGGCGAAAGTGGTCTGTGCAACCGAAGAGGGGGCTTTAGGGGTTGCTTATATAGAATTTTCGGAATTTTGAGATTTGGAATAGATGCCGTTGGGGAGGGGGGGGGGGGGGGGGGGGGAGAACTAAGGGAGCTGGGCATGGTGGATGTTTGTTTGTTTATGTGATTTTGATTTGGTAGATAATTGTGTTTTTAGATACGTTTTATTAGTTCCGTTTTGATTAAGAATACGCCTAAGGCCTTGAATTTTTCTAGTTTATTTTGTGGGTTTAGTATTGCTTCTAGAGTGAGAGCCTTGTTTAGATTGAGGGTGGTTTGTAATGCGGATCTGAAGATCCGTCCGTGTAAATGTGACACCAATTTGGCCAATTTTCGTGTATGTATGCTAGTGTGGTGGTTTTAGCTATGTTTGGGTCAGTTGGTTTATTTATTTGGCTAGTTGTGTATGTGTTGCAGGTATATGTACGAGCACAAAGTGTGTTATTGCAGTCAATACACACACAACAAACAAGGTGTATTATTGCAGTCAATACACACACAACGAACAAGGTGTGTTATTGCAGTCAATACACACACAACAAACAAGGTGTGTTATTGCAGTCAATACACAAACAACAAACAAGGTGTTTTATTGCAGTCAATACACACACAACAAACAAGGTGTTTTATTGCAGTCCATACACACACAACAAACAAGGTGTTTTATTGCAGTCAATACACAAACAACAAACAAGGTGTGTTATTGCAATCAATACACATACAACAAACAAGGTGTGTTATTGCAGTCAATACACACACAACGAACAAGGTGTGTTATTGCAGTCAATACACAAAACAACAAACAAGGTGTGTTATTGCAGTCAATACACACACAACGAACAAGGTGTTTTATTGCAGTCAATACACATACAACAAACAAGGTGTGTTATTGGAGTCAATACACACAACAAACAAGGTGTTTTATTGCAGTCCATACACACACAACAAACAAGGTGTTTTATTGCAGTCCATACACACACAACAAACAAGGTGTTTTATTGCAGTCAATACACACACAACAAACAAGTTGTTTTATTGCAGTCAATACACATACAAGAAACAAGGTGTGTTATTGCAGTCAATACACACACAACAAACAAGGTGTTTTATTGCAGTCAATACACACACAACAAACAAGGTGTTTTATTGCAGTCCATACACACACAACAAACAAGGTGTTTTATTGCAGTCCATACACACACAACAAACCACATTCTCTGTACAACATGGCAGCTGCATTGTTTTAATTTCTTGAATATTTCAACATTTTTTAGACAAAAACGAGCCTGGATAATAATATGAATTGTATATGTCCGCCATGTGTTTGCATGATGGATTCAGCACGACAATGTTTGTTTACTCACATTTTACAGGCAAGGAATTATGTTCAACATTTGCGGCTATTTCTAACGCAATTTGCAGCATAAAACAGATGAACGCTTTGTGATTGGTTTCTACTGTAATTGACAGTACTTTGTAATGTCAGAAAATTAAATTAACTTTCAATCTGTTGTGTTTATGTGTTTGGTCGTGTGTTTGGTTTAAAACATAAAAATGCTTTGTCGTGATTTTGACTTTGATAAAATAGAACGACATGAAAAGAATCGACAACCACTTCTTTTATTACTATATTTGTACAACAAGCCATGGGTCAGGGCTCCTTCATCAGATATTCGTTCACCGTAAACACAATCAAGAAGTGTATTGTTCATGACACGCGACAACAGTTAAGTGTTAACCTTTCAAACGTCCTCAATCTAGCGCATAGTTTATGCCATAAAGATTCACTATGTTAGTTCCGAATGATTAGTTTTCTTGTACTTTAACAAATATTTGTCTTGAATCAGTTGTCAGAGCCTACGAGCCCTTCTAACAATACAGAATATACTAAGCCGAATCACTGTAATCAGATAGTTTGCTGCCATATGATACCTCCCTGCAAGGAGACCTCACGATACCCCCATAAGAGTTCGCGTCAGTTGATCTTCCTAATCGGCATCGAGACTTCTACATTTTCGGTACGAGTGACCGAAGCATACAACGAGGTTTATCTGAGTTTTGAATCTCGAAAACGAATATAATCGAAGAATTCCTAAATCAAAAACATAAAGCGGCTTTATTATACTATTGTGGATATTATATACATCCTGTCGTTTCTGAGCGCCATTGCATCTGCACTCACAAGGATGTAGAATTGTATTGGTGAATTGAAACCTATGATTGTGGGTTCGAATCCCGGTTCGCCCCGATTATGTTTCTAGGTTTGTCAGCACCATACCCGTGCTCTAGGGTTTCACCGAAGTGGTAAACGTCTGAGACCTGCATCACTTCGGGCTTTCCTCCAACATTAAGCTGACACGCCGTGATATACCTGGAATACTGTTAAAAGTGGCGTTAAACCCAACGCACTCACTCACAATTCCAGAGATAATATGAGACATGGTTATACACCTTAGATTACATATACCAGAGAGTATATGAGACATGGTTATACACAGAGGATTACATACACCAAAGAGTATATAACACATGGTTATACGCCTCAGATTACATATACCAGAGAGTATATGAGACATGGTTATACACCGAGAATTACATTCACCAAAGAGTATATAACACATGGTTATAACCTCAGATTACATATACCAGAGAGTATATGAGACATGGTTATACACAGAGGATTACATACACCAAAGAGTATATAACACATGGTTATACGCCTCAGATTACATATACCAGAGAGTATATGAGACATGGTTATACACAGAGGATTACATATACCAAAGAGTATATAACACATTGTTATACACCTAAGATTCCATATACCAGAGAGTATATGAGGCATGGTTATACACAGAAGATTACATATACCAAAGAAATTAACGAGCCTGACAAGCCGATCCCGTTAGTCGCCTCTTACGACAAGCATAGTCGCCTTTTACGGCAAGCATGGGTTGCTGAAGACTTACTCTACCCTGGAGCTTCAGGGGCCGTACATAGTGTCCCAGCCGTCCTCAATAACGACATTTGTGAACACCCCCTGCTTTACTCTGTGACAATGAAAAACAATGTTTTCATTTTGATTTTAAACTTGCACTATATTAATTTTGTAGTGTTGGTTTTCACCTATTACCAGGTGATATGTTGAAAATCCTTGATTTTTACATCTGGAATACTGGGAGCGTTTTGGTTTTTTAACCTGTGTTCACTATTTTGTTTTAGTTGTGTGGTTGGAATATAGTATTTACAAACTAATTGTGTATGTGTTTGTAATGAAATAACATTTAATGTCAATCTTAAACTAAAATTAGCAAAAACACTATCTATCACGGCCAGGTTGCTATTGATATGACTTATTGTACAGGACGTTATCAGTAGCGTGTCCAATGTACATGGACGTGACTGGACCGAACATGCCCGAAAGAACGGATGACGTTTATTGATAATAAGGAGATATACCTACATGTAGCTCAATTTTCTCAACTACTATCTGCTTAACAGAGTAACTTCCCAGGTGCAAAGGTGACATTTTCATTTTGATGTTAGAAATGTCAAGGCGTTCACTGTGTTTTCAAATGCTTCTTGCATTTATCATAGCTATGACCATCTATCTTGGCGGACGTTGGAGCTTTGAGGGTATGTGAGTGTACACTGAGGCAACGTTTCTATTTGTGGATTCCAACGAATAAAAGACAGGAACGCCTGTTTTTCTTTTCGACTTTATGTTTTAAAAGGCTAAACAATGAATCTTCATAAAAATGTAATGTGTCGAAACTTGAAAGCTATACATTTAGTAAGTGCATGTCATGTTGAATCAATTAGGAGCAAGACATTAAATGCTTTAGATTTTTCATGATTTGAAAAAGAGACATTTGAAGACGAATAGACTTAATTTGTTTTCAAATAACAAAGATAATTGCAGTATCACAATCTATGATATGATTAACACGTGTTATTTAGCAGCCGATTAGGTTATCTACGACGTAGCTTTACTATGCATTTACTGCTGTACTGTGCATTTACTGCTGTACTGTGCATTTATGGCTGTACTGTGCATTTACTGCTGTACTGTGCATTAACTGCTGTACTGTGCATTTACTGCTGTACTGTGCATTCACTGCTGTATTGTGAATTTACTGCTGTACTGTGAATTTACTGCTGTACTGTGCATTTACTGCTGTACTGTGAATTTACTGCTGTACTGTGCATTTACTGCTGTTGTGTTAAGTTACTGCTGTTCTGTGAAGTTACTGC